GGCTGTACATGCCAGCAGCAGCTGCGGCCCCCCTGCTTGCCGCACCAGGCAGAGTTTGCCAGTGCCGACTCAGGGCTGCCCGGCATGCAAGCTCCGGGCAGGCAGCAGCAGCAAATACTGCCCAGCACGGCAAGCTGGGGGAGGGGGCCACAGCTGCTGCTGCCGCCGCAGCACAGCCCTGACAGGCTAGGCCAGAGCCACTCGGGGCCCAGGCTGGCAGAAGGGGCGGGTTACAAGCTGGTGCAGAGCATGGCGAAGAGTGGCCCCTCACCCACCCCATGCTGCAGCCATTCACAGCCCGCCTGGGGCTGCCTGTGCCTGCTCCAGACAGCCCCATCCAGGCTGCAAGTGGCTGCAGCAGGGAGCACTGGCCACAGGGCAGGTGAGGGGCTGCTTTTCCCCATGCTCCACACCAACTGGTTCTCTGCCAGGGAGCAAGGTGTTGGGGCTGCACACAGCCCTCCCACCTGTACTGCAGGGCCAGCGGGCACTGGGAGTGAGCAGGAGTGGGAGCACAGGGCCCTCATTGGTGTCCTGGGGTCAGCATCAGCATCCTGGGGCCAGAGCAGGGCAGCAGGGGTACAGGGGTCCCAGCTGGCAGGGGCTCTATGGAGCCAGGCCAGCTCCCCCCTCTCCTTGCTGGTGCAGCCCAGCCTGGCTCCAGACTCCTGCCAGCCTGCGCCCCACTCTGGGCCCCACTAGTGTTGACCCTGGGACACTGGTCCCAAGATGGTGACCAGGGGGCAGGGCACCCATCAAGGGGCAGAGCACCCCATGCAACCCTCAACAGCTTGCCAAAACTGGGTAAGTAGCCCTCTACCCAAAATAATTACCAGCCCCTGAATTAGAGCTATCTGTTGCCCTTCCTGGATGCTCTCTCCAGCTTTTCAGCCTCCCTGGGGTCTATGCTGTTGCATTCCCATGCATCTAAAAGCAGCTCCACTGCATAAAGAAGAGTCCATCAGCTCCCAATGTAAAGCAAATTAAAAGCCTACCAGCTGTTATTCGAATACTGAAAGTTAAGGGTGAGCAGTACAGCAGGCACAGGTTTTTATTGCCTCTCTCAGTCAGCTCAACAGATGCTGAGAAAAAAGGGTGTTGCTAGAAAATCCTATTTTCCCTTCCTCTGACCACCCAGGACACGACCTCAGAGCCAGTCTTCCCTGCAAAGAAACATGTCAATTGTCTCATGGCCAACCCAAGCAGAGGGAAGCTGCCAGCTATTCCCACCATGCTGTACACAGACACAAAACCCAGGTCACAGATACTGGCTGGCCCTCTACCCAATCCAAGATAAGAGCAGACCTGCAATTTCTCCCCACCCGATTGTCAGGTTAATTAGACATGTCTCTAATGAAAGGTGGACCCTAACAACTGGTCTCAGGTGGAGAAGCTTTCCTGAGGCTTATAGCTCTGTTCTCTCTTGGAAGCTACCTAATCCACTGCAAGTGTCAGGTATTTTTTGCCCTGATCAATCACCTGTTTGCATTTTCTTCCATGGTGACCTACCAAGGAATACCATATTGTCTTGCATACAACATGCACCCTGTCCCATTCCCCCACTTCCCCCCCAACCAGCTGGAGATT